AGAAGTAGCCAGTGCTCTTAACCACTGAGCCATCTGTCCTACATCTCCACCATATTCCTTTGAGATAGGTTCTCTCACTGAACTTGAGAAAGTTTCTGCTAATGTTTATTTACCAAGATTGACCTCTGGCCTCCTGATTAGGTACCATTTACATAACAAAAGGAGATAACCCTGATTTACAGCCAGCCATTAGGCCCCTGCTTATATCAAAGGACATGTCTCCAATAGGCAACTCAAGGAGTCAGTGCAAGATTATTATGTCATTAAGTCTTTGACAGAAGATGCATAATTCCAATAGGTAGACAAGATGACCCTGGGTAATAACTATTTGAAAAGAACACTGCGTGTAATTCTGGCATTATCTTTTGTTGTGTAAGTCTCACATTTGCCTAAGTGGCTAGACTTGTAGTCTACTGTCTTTGTCTAAATCCTTCAAAGTGTAACCTGAGGCCAGGACCTGAAAGAGATTTAAATATAATGGTGTGTGTGGAACTGTAAGCCTTGGGCTTGCATAGGATAGTACAGTTCTCTGTCTGAATCTGTTTCCCCTTGTGTATTATACCAAAATATAGTTAGTAGTTTGTCCATACCTCATAATAGGTTTCTCCAACACAGTAAACCAGATCAAGCTGAATTGAAAAGTAAAAGAACAGGTTTATTTGAGCAAAGCAACTCCCAGATGAATTCTCCAGCCCCAGAGATGGAGGCTGGAGAAGTCACATGCAGGGAGATTTTATATCCTGTAGGTGAGGGATGATGACATGCCCACCACAAACTGGGTTTGTGCCCAGGATGGTCAAAAGCTGGAATGCTTGAGCAGGGACTTGGGCTGCTGGCAGCTTCAGGGGGGAGGAGCTGCCCTAGCAACCAAGAATTCGGAACTGGGCTTTTTGGAGCATTTTCTTTCTTGGAGATTCTCTGAGAGGGTGAGTTTGGTGGTGGTGGGGGGAATAGAGAGGAGAGAAGGAATGGAGCTTTCCAGATCAAGCAGGAATGAGCTGGAGGTTCCACCCCAACAGTAGTCACGTGCTATTGTTAAAGGGTTTTTCTTTTATTAATCTCTAAGTGTGTGCAGTGATCTCACTAGCAAGGCATATTAATTCTGTACAGCCTAGGATGACCTTAAACTCATGATTTTTCTGTCTTTACTTCCCAAATGCTGGGGTGACAGACATGACACCTGGCAACCTTCGGTTTCTAAAACATCTGTTTTTATTTATTTACTTATTTTTAGCATAGAAGATCATTCTCTAGATCTGCAAGAGGGAAAACAGATGACCAGTTCACATTTCACATTTTACTGTAGACATTGGTTTTTTTTTTTTTTTTTTTTTTTTTGGTTTTTTCGAGACAGGGTTTCTCTGTGGCTTTGGAGGCTGTCCTGGAACTCGCTTGGTAGTCCAGGCTGGTCTCGAACTCACAGAGATCCGCCTGCCTCTGCCTCCCGAGTGCTGGGATTAAAGGCATGGGCCACCAACGCCCGGCTACTGTAGACATTGTTAAAAAAAAAAAAAAAGGGCCGGGCATTAGTGGCGCACGCCTTTAATCCCAGCACTCCGGAGGCAGAGACAGGTGGATCTCTGTGAGTTTGAGGCCATCCTGGTCTACAGATCAAGTTCCAGGACAGCCTCCAAAAACAATACAGAGAAACCCTGTCTCAAAAAACCTAAAAAAAAAAAAAAAAAAAAAAGGTGAGCATGATAGCTTTAATCCCCATCCTCAGGAGGCAGGGACTGGCAGATTTTTTTATTTAGTGAGACTCTTGTAAACAACAAAAGAAAAATAACATGAAAACACAGTATGTCTTAGGTAGAAATTGTACTTCGGAGCCGGACGTTGGTGGCCCACGCCTCTAATCCCAGCACTCGGGAGGCAGAGGCAGGCGGATCTCTGTGAGTTCGAGGCCAGCCTGGTCTACAGAGCCAGTTCCAGGACAGCCTCCAAAGCAATGCAGAGAAACCCTGTCTTGAAAAACCAAAAATAAAAAAAAAAGAAAGAAATTATACTTCGGATTTTGAACTTTTGTTGTTTTCTAGGCTGGCAGTAAGCAATACTAAATTCTCAAGATCCTAGGACATGTCAGCTCCAGCTTCCTCCCAGCCAGTCACACACATAGTCTCAAGAACAAACAGCCAGACTCCAGTGTGTACTGTATTGTTAACACTACAATGCTCAGGAATAGTTTCAGTTTGTGATGGGTCTATTATTAGGACATTGTACAATAAAGAGCATCTTCATAGCTTCATTTCCCCATGTTGTACTATTCTTAAACATACCACTATACATCTGTACACATTACAAACCAACAATATAGTGCTAGAATTATTCTTTTTATAATGTGTTTTTTTGGGGGAGGTTGTTTGGTTTTTAGTTTTTGGAGACTGTGTTTCTCTGTCTTATCCCTGGCTGTTCTAGTACTTGTTCTATAAACCAGGCTGGCTTTGAACTCACAGAAATCTGCCTGTTTCTGCCTCCCGAGTGCTAGGATTAAAGGTGTGCCTGACTTTTGTCTGTGGGTGCTGGGGATTTGGACTTCCCTCCTTGGTATGTTTCATCCAATGAGCTGTCTGCCCAGCTCCACCTTTTGCCTACATGAGGTTGAAGAGTAAATCTGTTACCTTAGCTGTGCAGAAGCAGGAATTCATGCCTTATGTGGTGTCATGTGGTCTCTTTTTTTTTTTTTTTTTTTTTTTTTTTTGGTTTTTCGAGACAGGGTTTCTCTGTGGCTTTGGAGGCTGTCCTGGAACTCACTTTGTAGACCAGGTTGGCCTCGAACTCACAGAGATCCGCCTGCCTCTGCCTCCCGAGTGCTGGGATTAAAGGCGTGCGCCACCAACACCCGGTCTCTCTGATTCTTTTTTAAGAAAGACAATTCATAGCTGGTCGGTGGTGGCGCACATCTTTAATCCCAACACTTGGGAGGAAGAGGAAGCTGGATCTCTGAGTTAGAGCAATCTCTGAGTTCGAGATCAGCCTGGTTTACAAGACCTAGTTCCAGGACAGCCTCCAAAGCCACAGAGAAACCCTGTCTCTTTTTTTTTTTTTTTTTTTTTTTTTTTTGGTTTTTTCGAGACAGGGTTTCTCTGTAGCTTTGGAGGCTGTCCTGGAACTCGCTCTTGTAGACCAGGCTGGTCTCGAACTCACAGAGATCTGCCTGCCTCTGCCTCCCGAGTGCTGGGATTAAAGGCATGGGCCACCAACGCCCGGCTCTCATTATATTTTTATCTATGTATATGTGTGTGTGTGTGTGTGCACATGCTTGAGGGTGCTTATGAAGTTCAGGAGAGAGGGCATCAGATCTCCTAGAGCTGGAGTTATAGGCAGTTGTGAGTAGCCTGCTGCAGGTGCTGGGAACTGAACCAAAGTCCTCTGCAAAAGCAGCAAGTGCTTTTTAACTTCTAAGCCATCTCTCTAGTTCCCATAAGTCCCTTTCTTTTTTTTCTAAATATTATTATATTTATTTGCTTATTTTACCTACATGGGCTTATATGCCATGATGTGAGTGTGTGTGTGTGTGTGTGTGTGTGTGTGTGTGTATGTGTGTGTGTAGGTCAGAGAACAACTTTCAAGAATCCATTCTGTCTGCTCTGTGGGTCCTGTGGATCAAATTCAACTCCAGTACCAAGGTTGGCAGTAAATGCCTTTCCCTGCTGAGTCATCCATCTCTCTAGCACCTGATTCTCCAAAAGATCTTTTAAACATCAGTGCTGGGCGTGCATCAACTGATAGAGCATTTGCTTAATGAAGCCCTTAGTTCAGTCATAAACTTAGAGTGATACATGCACTTGAGAGGCGAAGGAGGAGAATGAAAGGTTTAGTTCAAATAGCATGGGATATTTCTGTGACTTGAACACTTTTTGTCAACATCAAATTTATGTAGTGTTTGTTGTTGTTCTCCCCCCTTCCCAGACAGGGTTTCTTTGTGTAGCTTTGGAAGCTACACTCGCTCTGTAGACCAGGCTGTCCTCGAACTTACAGAGATCCGCCTACCTCTGCCTCCCAAGTGCCTGGATTAAATGTGTGGGCCACCAATGCCCGGCCTATATAGTGTTTCAATTACCTGAATCTTGGAGATGTGTGTGCACACATAGACACTAACTTTTCCATGATGATTCCTATGAATCCTATGAATGGCATTGGAAGGTTGGAGACTTACTCTGCTGTCTAGTCAGGGAGGAGTGGTCTTCAGGGATGATGAGAACTGTAAGGTTATTAAAGCACACGAGTTAGTCCTGGTGACTTTATAAAGAGAAACACACAGGTACAGATAGACATACATGCTCTTATCTTCTGCGGAGGTAATTGACACCCCTTCCCAAGGATTCTAACATTAAGACAGTGTCACAAGATGAGACCCCTGAGCCTTGTACCTCCAGAACTGTGAGCCAAAACTCTCTTCCTCAAAAGTAGCCTGCCTGCAATATTTCGTTATATTAATGAAAAAATGGAGTAATGTATCAACCATTTCATTGAAAGTTAAAATCCTATCTTTTTTTGTTTTTGATTTCAAGACAGGGTTTTTCTCTGTAGTTTTGGAGGCTGTCCTGGAACTTGCTCAGTAGATTCTCTTGTCTCTGCCTCCCGAGAGCTGGAATTAAAGGCTTGTGCCACCATCACCTGGCTCTAACTACCTTTTTAATTGCAAATACAGCACAGAGTCCATGAGATGGCTCAGAAGATGAAACACTTTCCATATAAACTTGGTGACCTGAGTTGAATCCCTAGAACCCAAGGAAAAGTGCAGGGAAAGAACCCACTCCACAGCTGCCCTCTGACCACATACGCAATAATAATAACAAATTAAAAAATACAGTATAAAACTATTCACTAAAGTGGAAAAGTTAAGTGAGAGGAGGTGGAAATCTGCGGTTCTGAACAGTCCAAAGGGTAAAATGAAGCCGGCTGGTTTAGGTAAGTGAGGTCTCATCTGAGAACAATGGACTAAATTTAAGGAAGTAGGAATGGGACATTTATGATGGGTTGTTTTGTCTCTCACCTAGATACTGTACATTGCCTCACTCCTCTACACTGTCAATTACATCTGGTATCTGTACTCAGAGCTGAGGATGAAATACTGCCAGAGCAGACAGAGCACAGCTGCACAGGTAAGCAGAGAAGGGACTCCCCAATGTTCTCAGTGAGCACTGCAAGCTCTTAACCCTGAGTGAGTGTGTGGAAGCTGATGAAAATAATGTTCCATAGTTTCCATCTGTTGACATCACTTCCTTTCTTCTCTTGACACACAAAATATTTGTTTGATTGGTGTTTTGTTTTTCAAACAAGGTTTCTCTACATAGCCCTGGCTGCCCTGGAATTCACTATGTAGTCTAGGCGGGCCTCGAACTCCAGCTAACAAAGTTCTTCTTGCCTCTGCCTTCCTGAGTTCTGTTATTAAAAACATGCACCATCACATTCAATTTAGTCATTTTGTGGTTGCTGTTGATTTGTTTTTGAGAGAGGGTCCTGTTCAGCCTAGGCTGACCCCAGATTCACTATGTAGTCAAGGATGACCTTGAACTTCTGATCTTCTTACCTCTGTTTCCCAAGTGCTGGGATTCCAGGTATAGACCACAAAACCCAGTTTATGTGTTGCTGGGATTGGACACAGGACTTTAGAAGGTTAGGAAACACTCCACCAACTGTGCTACAAAACACAGGCCTCATTTTAGTCTTTTACATCATACTAAATATTCTAATCTTACTTCTGCAAAATTCACTACTTTATGTTTTTTATAAGTAGCTTTTTATTTATTCACTTTTTAAATATTTATTTTATGTATATAAGTGACCTGTCTTAACGCATACCAGAAGAGGGAATCAGATCCTATTACATAAAGCTGTGAGCCACCATGTGATTGCTGGGAATTGAACTCAGGACCTCTGGAACAAGAGCCAGTATTCTTAACTACTGAGCCATTTCTCCAGCCCATGCTTTCGTTTTTTGTTTTGTTTTGTTTTGGTTTTTGGTTTTTTGGTTTTTTGAGACAGGGTTTCTCTGTATTGTTTTGGAGCCTGTCCTGGAACTTAATCCGTAGACCAGGCTGGTCTCAAACTCACAGAGATCTGCCTGCCTCTGCCTCCCGAGTGCTGGAATTAAAGGCGTGCGCCACCACTGCCCGGCTTTGTTTCTGTTTCTGTTTTTTTTTTTTTTTTTTTTTGGTTTTTCGAGACAGGGTTTCTCTGTATTGTTTTGGAGGCTGTCAGTGCAACCCAGCCTCGAACTCACAGAGATCCGCCTGCCTCTGCCTCCCAAGTGCTGGGATTAAAGGCGTGCGCCACCAACGTCCGGCTTTGTTTCTGTTTTTTAACTAAACTTTTGTTAAGAGCATGATAAACGCTCTGGAAAGTATCCCAGGGAACACATGAAAGAGCCCAGTAAATATCTGTTGTATGAGTAAGTGGAAGAGTATGTGAATTAAATGCATTAGTAATTAACTCAGATTCATCAATAATATGTCAGTGTTGCATTAAGGAATAGAAATAAAAGCTGGGCGGTGGTGGCAGGCGGATCTCTGTGAGTTGGAGGCCGGGCTGGACTGACAGCCTCCAAAACAATACAGAGAAACCCTGCCTCGTTAAAAAAAAAAAAAAAAAAGGATAGAAATAAAAACATTTCCCTTTAAACAAGAGTGGGTCCAGATTTGAATTCTCTACTTCATGCTCTCTGTGTCTTCTGTCCCTGTGTCTGTCTGTCCCTCCCAGGGCTTTGCTCTGTCTTGAACTCACAGGGATCTGTTTGCCTCTTCCTCCAAGTGCTGGAACTAAAGGAGTGTGCCACTACAACTGGAAGCCCATATGTTTTATATCAGTAGCTATTAGCCATGAGTAGCCAAAAAACACCTGTAATGTGGCTGCCAAATGAAGGAACCACTGCAGGGAACTCACACTTTAGAAAGAGTCTCTTCCACTCTGTAGCCCTGGCTGGGGCAGGATTAGAACTTGCTGTGTTGTTGAGGCTGGTTTCTAACTTACAGCAATCCTACCTAGTGCATCTGCCTTTCAAATTCTGGGCTCAGAGGCATATGCCGTCATTCCTGGCAGGAGTTGACATTTTCATTTTATTTAGTTTTAGTGTAAGTAGCTATGTGTGGGTAGTAGCTGCTGTGTACAACCAGAACTCCGCTCTGCTGCCATTTTATCTTGCCCACTCTGGGCATTCCACAGGCATAGGCGTCTTCTGTACCTTAACCTTGCATGATCCCTTCAGGAAGGAAGGACCTGGGGTTACTTAACCCTTTACACACTTGTCTGTATAAATGGAAGATACTGCAAAGGACTGCAACTTTGTTTTCTTCTCTTTGAGCAGATGAGTGTCTCAAAGCACAGCAGCTCCCAGGGCAAACCCGATAGGCCATGAACTTTCCATCATAATACCAAGTTCACAGCAGTCATGCTACTATAAATTGTTCAGTCTCTGATGCAAGCGGGGAGTGTTCATCTGTCTATCTATCTGGGAGTGTTATGTATTTGAACCCAACTCTTTTCTACTATAAGTACATATTCAATCACCCTGTATAATGCAATATACTTTGTGTATGGTATATGTGTAGTTGTGTGTGACTGTGTGTTAGGGCATAGAGGTCATTAGTCAACACCAGCTGCTTTCCTCTGTTGCTCTCTACCTTTCTTGTTTTGTTATGTTTTCTTTTTTTTTTTTTTTTTTTTTTTTTGAGACAGGGTTTCTCTGTGGCTTTGGAGGCTGTCCTGGAACTCGCTTGGCAGTCCAGGCTGGTCTTGAACTCACAGAGATCCACCTGCCTCTGCCTCCCGAGTGCTGGGATTAAAGGCGTGAGCCACCAACGCCCGGCTTGTTTTGTTTTCTAGGACAGGGTTTCTCTATATAACAGTCCTGGATGTCCTGGAACTCACTCTGTAGACCAGGCTGGCCTCGAACTCACAGAGCTCTGCCTGCCTCTGCCTCCCAAGTGCTGGGATTAAAGGAGTATGCTAACACCACCCAACGCTTTCCACCTTTTTTGTTTTTGTTTCTTGTTTGTTTTGTTTTTGAGACATTATTTCTCACTGATCCTGGGTTTTGCCATTTGTGCTAGTCTGATTGGTCCGTGTATAGCCCTCAGGGTCGGTCAGTCTTCCCTTGCCGACTCCGCAGTGCTATCGAGGGTTGCTGACAAGTGCTACTATGCCTGATTTCCTGTGTGGGTGCTAGGGATCTGAACTTATGTTCCTGTGATTTCTCAGAAACCACTTTATCTACTGAAAAATCTCTGGTCTCCAGATTTTAAATGATCCGTCCTCTAGAGTGCAGTGGTCTTATATCCAAAAGCTCCTTTGACTCTGTCATGTCAACATTCGCCTTCTGATATTTTGTGCTGGCCAACTTATGCATAGCTTCATCCATCCGTACCTTTCTTGTTCTAAAAAAAGAAAATGCCCTATGATTTTATATTCTTAAAATAATTTGTTTCACCGGCCAGTGGTGGCGCACGCCTTTAATCCCAGCACTCGGGAGGCAGAGGCAGGCGGATCTCTGTGAGTTCGAGGCTGGGTTGCACTGACAGCCTCCAAAACAATACAGAGAAACCCTGTCTCGAAAAAAACCAAAAAAAAAAAAAAAAAAAAAAGAATTTGTTTCAGCATTCAAGTCTTGGATTAAATTACTTCCTATAGTCTTCTGTTTTTATTATTATTATTGTTGTTTCTTTTTGGCATAGTAATATAGATAAAACTGTGCTCTCTAGTACCAAGGGAACTGACTGGTGGATTCTAAAAACAATATGGCTGACAAAGCAACAGGGCTGCTGGAAGTGTGTGTGTGTGTGTGTGTTTGTGTTTACTGGTAAGTTTGGCATTGGCCCTAACATTTTTCACATCTGTTCTCTTCACAGGTAATAGATCATACTTGCCAAGGTGGTAACATAGTGTTCATTTTGTCAAGGTAAGATTTTTTTCTACTTAGTAAGGTAGCAAAGGAACAAATGACCTGTTAGTCTTCATTTCCACTGTCATTCCCATGTCTTTTCAGAGCATTAAATGATAGTGAGCCAACTCCCTAGCCACCTTGCCATCCTTTAGATTTCTTTTTCTTTCTTCCTTTCCCTCCCTCCCTCCCTCCCTCCCTCTCTCCCTCCCTCCCTTCTCTCTCTCTCTCTCTCTCTCTCTCTCTCCCTCCCTCCCTCCCTCCCTCCCTCCCTCCTCTCTCTCTCTCTCTCTCTCTCTCTCTCTCTCTCTCTCTCTCTCTCTCTCTCTCTTTCTGTTTTTGAGACAGGATTTCTCTGTGAGACAGTCCTGGCTGTCCTGGAACTCACTCTGTAGACCACCTGCCTCTGCTTCCCGAGTGCTGGGATTAAAGGCGTGTGCTACCACTGCCTAGACCAGCAGATTTTTATCTGATTATAATTCCGAAGATTCTCAAGAAACTGTTAAGAGATTGACATAGATGTAAAATCCACTTCACAATGTAATTCTTCAGGAAATAGAAAATAAGGATAATTATGTTATTTGAGATGTTTTTCTTCATGTATGTCAGTTGTGGGGGAGTTGGTGGGGGTGATATAGTTGGAGAAAGGAGAGTGTTTTACAAAAGGGGAAAGGGTATGAAGATTTCTGGATAATTGCATAAGTTTTCTCCTGCCAGCCTGATCCCACCGCTGTTGATGACACCTGTACTCAGCCTGGGCAATGTCAGTGGATGCTCCCACAACTTCAGCCAGAGCCACAGGTGAGGAAAGGCTAACTGTTTTTTTTTTTAAAGATTTTTCTTTATTTATTATGTATACAGTTTCCTGTATGCATGTGTGCCTGCAGGCCAGAAGAGGGTACCAGATCTTATTACAGATGGTTGTCAGTCACCATGTGGGTGCTGGGAACTCAACTCAGGACCTGTGGAAGAGCAGTCAGTGCTCTTAACCTCTGAGCCATCTCTCCAGCCCCCGAGGAAGGGCTAACTGTTATGTGCTCTTTTCCACAGCAGAGTAAAGGGGACGCTCTACCCACTTTCTAGCCAGGACACTTGTTTCGGTGTTTGTGACCCCTGAGAAAGACCACAGATTCAGTCCAATTATAATTGAAATATGTACTGCTTAACTGCTAGCAGAATGAGCAATCTCAGAACCAAATTTGAGATTGCCATGCAGGAGGGGTATGTGGAAGAATTATTAAAGGAAAAAAACCACACAGAGACTTTCAGTATCTATGAAGCAAATAAAACTGTTCTGTCCTACCAAGTTAATTGGTTAAAGCATCTCAAAATGGTCTTTGAGCGTCTGCATAAATAAGTTACAGTGATCTCTGAGTTTGAGACCAGCCTGTTCTACAAGAGCTAGTTCCAGGACAGCCTCCAAAACCACAGAGAAACCCTGTCTCAAAAAAAAAAAAAAAAAGAGCTGTTAGGCATAGACAGGAACAGCTGTACATTTTTGGGTGCATGTTACTGAGCCAGAGGAACTGGTATTGCAGGGCCCAAGAAGACCCAGAACAACCCAAACACACAAGAGCTCATGCAAAACAAGTTCCAGCAGTACAGACTTGGGAGCTGACTGAGTCCCTGAATGTTCATTTCAGCAAGTATTTAAGCAGAAAACCACAGATGTCTGTGCCAAGTTACACTTAAATTTCCCTCCAACCAGCATGCAAAGATTAGGGCCTTTTCTAAGGACATTGTTCTGACTTCTCTTGCCCTCACTGGTTGGTCCACTCAAATGTGTCAAGGCAGCTTGCCCACCATTCATGTCTCACCTTGTCAACCAGGATGCCAATGGTGTCAGTTACCAGGGAAGTCTAAGGAGGTCTTGGGAACTTAAACTTTATTTCACTCTGCTTTTCAAGATGGAACTTTTATTCAAAATAGTTTCAGTTTTGTTCTTTCTTATACTGGGAACTTACCTTCCATGGACTGGAGTCAGCAGCAAACAACTGGTAGGTACCAAAATGGATGCCTACCATAATATGGGTCTTCTTTAGCCATACAGTTTGTTCTACTTGTGGATGTAGCTCAGGCAGTAGAATGTTTTCCGTGCTTACAGTCTTGGGTTGGATCCCAAGCACTGCAGATAATGTGTGTGGTGGCACACACCTGTAACCTCAGCACATAGGAGATAGAGACAGGAGGTCAGAGTTTCACCATCATCTTGAACTACTTATCAGTTTGAGACCAGTCTGGGCAACATCAGACCCTGCCTCAAAAAAAAAAAAGCTTGTTTTGGAAATGGGTTCTAGACATAACATGATGTAGTCAGGCTGAAGATACACAAGGAAACAGACAGTATGAGTGACTTCAAGATGTTTCATCTGTGGGAAAAGCCTGAAAAAACGGTAGACACAGGTGCTCACTGTGCGGAATAGTGCTCTGTACCCTGACACAAGCTAAAGGCCTCAGACTGAGAAAGTGCCTTCATAGGATCAGATTGCAGGCAAGCCTGCAGAGCATTTTCTTCACTAGTAACTGATGTTGGGGGCACCAGGCAGCTGTGAGTGGTCCCTGGGCTGGTGGCCCTGGGTTCCATAGGAAAGCAGGCTAAGCAAGCCATGGTGAGCAAGCCAGTAAGCAGCACTCTCCATGGCCTCTGCATCAACTCCTGCCTCAGTGTTCCTGCCCTGACTTCCTTCAATGATGGACTAAGATGTGAAAGAATAAGCCAAATAAGCCCTTTTCTCCCCAGCTTGCTTATGGTCAAGGTGTTTTGTCACAGCAATAGTGACCCTAACTAAGACATACAGTTTTTGTTTTGTTTCTCCTGTCTTGTCTTTGTAGTATTATCCTGTCCATTGGTTCTCTTCTCAGGTGTATCCTAATGCACTCACCACCATCAGCTATGATTGAACTCCTGCCTTCCACCAACACATCTGTCTGTAGCACACTGTATTTTTATGGTGTCACTGTTTTCCTGGCCAGCTTTTTCTTCGGCCTCCTCCTCATCACGGTATGGTACCATCTGTCTGTTATGGCAAAAAGGAATGGCTGGGAGAGATAGGTAGTATTCCAAGACTGCAACAATGAAAGATGTATTTCCTGCGGTCCCATCACTAGGGAAGTGGTCATTGGCTGAGGATGTTGCTCAGTTGGTAGAACACTTCCCTAGAATGCAGAGAGCATGTGAAGCTGAAACGGGATCATTCTCAGCTACATAGAGCCAGTCTGGGCTGTATATGAGGTCCTTTCTCCAAGAACTTGGGAGGCAGAGACAGGTGGATCTCTGTGAGTTCAAGGCCAGCCTGGTCTGTAGAGCCAGTTTCAGACAGCCAGGACTGTTACACAGAGAAACCCCATCTTGGGAAAAAAAAAAGTGACTAGGAGATGTTGGCAATGTAATTACTGTTTTTGTTTTTTTGGACTTCCCAAAATTAAATGATGAGCAGGGAAAAAAACTTGTATTAGTTAAGTGGCAATCATGTTCACTCTAAAATTAATGTGTTTCTTTGATTCCCATGAGGATCCAGAGAATATCATATGACACAATGTATCCTTTATATAAGTGACACTCTAACATAGGACCTGTGCTTTGGTTTAATTTCCCAGATAATGAAAGCAGGTTCTTTTTTTTTTTTTTCTCCCAGAGACTATTTCTTTTTTTGTCTTGTTTTTTTTTTTGTTTTGTTTTGTTTTTTTCGACACAGGGTTTCTCTGTGGCTTTGGAGGCTGTCCTGGAACTCGCTCTGTAGACCAGGCTGGCTTCGAACTCTCAGAGATCCGCCTGCCTCTGCCTCCCGAGTGCCGGGATTAAAGGTGTGCGCCACTAACGCCTGGCCAGAGACTATTTCTTTAGCCTTGGCTGTCCTGGAACTCACTCTGTAGACCAGGCTGGCCTCAAACTTACAGAAATCCTCCTTCTGCCTCCAAGTGCTGGGATTAAAAGTATGTGCCACCATTGGTTGGCTAAGAAGAGATTTTCAAAAACTCTTTTTACTTGGAGTTGAGAATTTAATCTCAGCCTTTGTACAATGAACTTCAGGGTGTTTAGCATGAAACATGGCCTTGAAGAATCTCTAATAAGATACTTTGAGAGATGTGCTAGTTAGAACTCACTTTAACTTCCTGGGTGGCAATGTAGGTCATTAGTACAATACCTGCCAATCACATACAAGGCTGTAGGTTTGATTAACACCTCCACAAGAAAACAGCATGCCTTCCCATATATATTGTGATTTGTTTGAGGTTGGGAAATCTGGGGGGTGGTGATGCTCACACACTGAAAATAATAACTCTGTTTGTCTATGTGAAAATTCCCACTGGATAGTTCTCCACAGTTGCTCTCATGGTAAAGGAGGAGAGTAGTTTTTCCTGACATGAGCTCCTTGTAGAGTGAGCCTTCTAAAGTGCTGGAATTTTGACTAAGCCATAGACTGACTACTCACAATTGCACTCATGTTTAGGTCTTACTCCTCCACACCCAGACATTGTATAAGAAGTTTGTGAAATCGACAGGCTTTCTGGAGAGTGAGCAGTGGGCAGTGATTTACATTGTGAGTCAGCGAGTCCGCTTCTTCCTGGTGGCCTTTGTATGCTGCTGGGGCCCAGGTTGGTATCTTAGTGAAAAGAACTGGGAGGTGAAGAAGGTGACTGTGGGGTTTGTCAAACAAGATGACCTCACCCAAATCATGACTGCATATTCCTGTCTAGCTTGTAATTTTTTTTTTGATTTTTCGAGGCGTGGTTTCTCTGTATTGTTTTGGAGGCTGTCGGTCCAGCCCGGCCTCGAACTCACAGAGATCCGCCTGCCTCTGCCTCCCGAGTGCTAGGATTAAAGGCATGCGCCACCACCGCCCAGCTAGCTTGTAAATTTTATTTATTTACTTACTGCTTTATTTTTTGAGACAAAGTCTCATTATGTAGCCCCACCCCCACCCCCTGCCTCAAGCACACAGAAGTCCACCTACAGCCTCTGTCTCAAATTGCTGGAATTAAAGACATGTACCATTCTGCCTGGTATTAATCTGCAAGTTTTAATCAGTAAAGACCAGAAATCAAAGCCAAAAGCTCAGGGATTTACATAACTGACTGATCTCAGGGCTGACCTTCATTTACCTGTAGCTTCTGTTCATGGAATGCTCAGGCATATGCACTTAGAACTAACTGCAGGTTACACATTGTGTATTTGCAGCTGTCACATTGCTGATCATAAAACTGGTCAAGCCACAGGATACCTTATTGCACATGGTCTTCTCTGTGCTCCAGGTAAGACCTTCCAAAGCCAGAGTCTCTTGTCTTGTGCCCTCGTGACCTATTCTCTTACATTGCCATTTGGAGGACACATGGTGTTTTTCCTTCAGTATATTTGTTTGTGCATTACAAAAGAGAACATCTAATGCTTGTGCTCACTTGGGAGGAATATAACCATTTCCTCAAAGGCAAGTTAGTCTAAGTGTTTCTGGGTCTAGTTTGGAGCACAGGTATCTTTGGGCAGCTTAGTTTTGTTATGCTGAAGATATGGGTGTTAGAATAAGATCTCCTAGAGTATATTGTTGTGATGCACTGGTGGTGGTGATGCTCTCCCAGCCAGAGTGAATCAAATGGCACAAATTAGCTGTTCATAGTGAGTGGTGAGCAGTAAAGGAATGCTTTCCTCTTTCCTGCATTGTCAGAGAACTTCTTAGAACAGTTTCTATGAGAAGTGGGTCAGCAGTTGAAGCCATTTTATTGTCCTCATCTGTATACTGAACAGTGAACTAGCCTTCAGCTGTCCACAGCAAGATATAACATGAAGACTTTAGATGAGCTTGTATATAGTTCAGTAGCTCAGATGGCAACACAGCACATAGGGTTGGGACTTTATGTCTGCAGCTTGGGCTCCATCACTCTCCATCTCCTGCAGGCTCTCACAGCAGCATCCCAGGGTCTGCTCAACTGTGGCGTATATGGCTGGACACAGTGCAAGTTCCAGCAGCTAAAGCGTGAGCTTCGCTGTGATGCAGACACCCAGACCCCATTGCTGTGTTCACAGAAGAGAATCTATAGCAGGAGCCTGGGCCTATGCCCACCGGACTCTTCCCTTGCTTTTGTTCCCAGCTCTTCCACCGTTCTTTGAAACTGGAACAAGCAGGAAGGGAATGTTTCATGTGAGTGGACTCTGCAGGTCTGCAGGGAGAACCCCCATCTCTTCTGGCCATACCCCAGACTGAAGAACTGCAAGGCAATGTAGGGCTGTGGTCAGTGGGGATTCTGGGTGAATTAGGAAGGATCTCTCCAGTTGCTCGTTCAGGGAGATATAGCCACTTTCCATCTAAGAGACTCATTACTTTTCAAATACAAGATTTATTTACATTTCTTCAAGAAAAATAAATTTCAGGTTCATATATGTGTATGTCATTCACAAACTCTGCTCCATCCATGAAAGCAAGGGAAGCAGGGAGCCATGCAACAGCCTGCAGGTGTGCAGTTGGGGCTGACGCAGTGAGCTTGTGTGGAGGCCTGAGAATGTGCACACTCAAGTGCTCTGCCACACACTTCATTCTCAGTGTTTCCGTGTTGTTCAAGTTGTTTAACAAAGCAGTTTTGGGTTTTTTGTTTTGTTTTGTTTTGTTTTTGAGACAGGATTTCTCTGTATTAATTTGGAGGCTATCCTGGAACTAGCTCTTGTAGACCAGGCTGGTCTCGAACTCACAGAGATCTGCCTGCTTCTGCCTCTCAAGTGCTAGGATTAAAGGTGTGCGCCACCAATGCCAGGTGTATATATATGTAACAGTTTTTATATAGATTTTTGGAAAAACTTTATTTAAAAATATAAGTATATTTGGTGGCTATATTCATCTGAAATATTTATGGTTGAGTAAAACTTCCTTAGTGACCATTAGAGCCATGGTGGCAGAATCATATGTCCTATACATGGTGAGAGAGATTGATCACAGTTGCTATGGAAACCACAGAGGCCCCATAATTAGAGCCAAGGCTCCCAGGACAGTGGCAGTAGTCACCACAGCTTAGCCAGCCCCAGGGTTCTTAGTGTTCCCAACATCATTGTTCTGTGAGCCCTACCAGGCCCAAGACAGCTCTCTGCTTTTTCCACAACATCAACTGTCAGTACGGCATCTAGACCATTTCCTAGGGGTCCTATTGCTGATATACTGGTAGTACTTCTGGCCAGCAGTGAGACCACAAGTTCTCCAGGGTTTAGGTCAGAAGAAACAGAAGTGACCTGCAGTGAGTTTCCTGAGCACACCCATCAGTCATTGCCTTGCAGGTCAAGAACTCTGCCATAGACAGCCTGGAACAGGACCCAAAAAAAACCTTGTGCTTTGACTTGTGGGTTGTGTCTGCATCCAGTCTGTAAGAGCTAAAGCCAAAACAAAAGTCATATCTATGTATAAGAACATAGTTTAAATAACTACAGATAAACTAATATGCCATGGAACACTAGTAAAAAAGAATAAGAAAAATTGAGATGTAAGACTTAGTGGATTTTCCACTTTAGAAAAAAATAATAGGCTTATTTATAAAAGATGGGTCTCAAATGCCTATGTATATATTTATATGAACATGGAAAGGATTTGGAAAATGTGGAAATAGGTTCACAGAGATTTCTAGAACAAGGGTTCAGAGACCTATAGCCAGTATAGAAGGAAGACAGGACATGGTGAGCAAGAGAAATGAAGACATCATTTTGTTAAAGGGAGGAGCAACAAGAATCTGAGAAACACAGAGGATGAGACCCAGTGTTATAAAAGTATGCATTTTCAGTGCAAGCTTAGTAAGGTATGCTCATCATTGATGTTTGAGCACTTCATAGGCCAAGGCCTCCAGCACTCTTTACTTATGGTTTTTCAAGACAAGGTTTCTTTGTATAACAGTCCTAGCTGTCTTGGAACTCATTCTGTAGACTAGGCTGGCCTCAAACTCACTGAGATCCACCTAGCTCTGCCTTCCAAGTGCTAGAATTAAAAGTGTGTGCCACCACTGTTCTGAACCTTCCATCATTCTTTTTTTTTTTTTTTTTTGGTTTTTTTGAGACAGGGTTTCTCTGTAGCTTTGGAGGCTGTCCTGGAACTCACTTTGTAGACCAGGCTGGCCTCGAACTCACAGAGATCCGCCTGCCTCTGCCTCCCGAGTGCTGGGATTAAAGGCGTGCGCCACCAACACCCAGCACCTTCCATCATTCTTAAACCCCATTCTTTTTCCCTAGATTGTCATCCCAATTAAAATCATTCCTCCCCCTGTCCTTCCCTTCCTCCCTCCTTCCCTCTCTCTTTCTCTCTTTTTTCTTTTCTTTTTTTTTGGTTTTTCAAGACAGGGTTTCTCTGTGGCTTTGGAGGCTGTCCTGGAACTAGCTCTGTAAACCAGCCTGGTCTCGAGCTCACAGAGATCTGCCTGCCTCTGCCTCCCAAGTGCTAGGATTAAAGGTGTGTGCCACCGCCACCACCCTTCTCTCTCTCTTTTTCAAGACAGGGTTTCTTTGTGTAGCCCTGGCTGTCCTAGAACTCACTCTGTAGACCACACTCGCCTTGAACTCACAGAGATCTGCCTGCCTCTGTCTCCCTAGTGCTGGGACTAGTGTGCACCACCACCACCTTGCTTAAAATAGTTTCTTTATGATGGTAAACATCATAACAACCTCAGGTATGGATCTTACCTCATCCACATTAAAAAAAGTTCAGTTGTAATCTCAGTCAAGTTTGTAAATTCTGTCTTCACCATTCTAGGAAAGTGAAGTGTTTGAGAGTTGCCTCATATGAAGTGAAATCACAAAAAAAGATTCTCTTATATGTGAAGACAATTTTGCCTGTAGCTCTGGTTAAACAAATGACTAGGCTTTTGAAATGCCTTATAATTACAGTTTATTATTCCATTATGTCCATAAGCTTCAGAGACCCAGAATCTACTGCATAGGTAGGATCAAGACCAGTGTTGGAGTGCTTCCCCTGGAGAAGTGGTAACATCTAGAATAACACACTGAATGGTGCAGGGCATGTGCTTAAGGAATAGGGGAGTGGAAGACTCCTCTCCCCACAGACTGGGAAGGCCTGACTAAGAAGACATGGGAAAATTTGAAGCTGGGTGACAAATCAGGGTGAACACTTAGTTTTACTTCTTTTCTGTTCATGGAAGAAGAGCTATTTTTCTTCCCCCTTGAAAAACCACTTGACTGAGCTGTTCCCCATTCAACCACAACGACAAAACTTCATTTCAGAAGAAATCTAGAGAAACAATAAGCCATTTTCCTTTTCAAGTAAAGATGACACTTTGATCTGCATGTGATAGCTTACACTTCTAATCTCAGGACTCCAGAGGCGGAGGCAGAAAGATTACCATGAGGTTGAGGCCAGCCTGGGCTACATAGTCAGAAACCAGTCCCTGGGTCACATATGTGAGATACTATATCAAAAACAAACAAAAGTAGCACTTTGTTTTCATCAAGTACAGAACTGTATCAATTTGGGGTTATCTTGTTTTAGTTTTCTTCAATTGAGCTCCAGACAAGGGAGTTCAGTTTGACTCAATGGGATGGCAAAAGATGTGCTGTCAGGCCCAAGGAGAGACACATCTGCCCCTGGTCCCCCAAGGACAAGCATGCCCCTTGGGCTTCAAAGCATCAGTGTCTGCAGCATCTGTTCCACTCTGTAACTTCCCTTTGTTTCTCGCAAGTCTGAAGACAAATCTAGAATCTGGAATTGACTTTAGGAAACTAAGGAAAGTGCTGGGTTTTTGGCTGGCCTGTGATAGCCAAGAGAAGGCAGGGAGAAGGTAGCAAGACATCACCAGACTCTGTTGGGGATTGTGGTCCTTATGGGGTACCAACATGTGGATTACTGGATATCTTCCTCATAATGCCACAAGCATGTGGGCAAGATGATTCATGAGAAAGGCCATACTTTCTAGAAACAGAGCACAAAATAACTCTAATTAGCTTCACTTTGTTTTTCAGACTAAGTCTTGCTAGGTAACCCAGGCTGGTCTTAAACTTGCAGTCACCTTGACTCAGCCTTCTGAAAGCTGGCAGTATGGCAAGCACCACCATCAAGACTGCCTTAGTGCTGGTTGCTGCTTCCTCTTCCTCTTTAGTATGAGCTTGTTTATTGTGTAGTGTTCATATGTGTACAGATGGGGGATGCCTGTGCATGCGCATACAGGGAAGAAGAGGCATTTAGCAACATCCTCCATCACTCTCAGCCTATTCCTTTGAAGCAGGGTCTCTCCCTGAACCTAGAGCTTGCATTCTCTGGGCTAGAAGCCATAAAGTCCCAGTGATCCTTCTGTTTGTTGCCACTTTGGATTATGGGCCTATACAAGATACCTGTCTTGCCTCTTGTCAGGTAAGTACAGGAGTCTGACCTCCAGGCCTCATGACTGTACAGCAAGTACTCTTTGCCCTGGAGCTGTGGCTGATGTCTGCAATGCTGGCTTCTTAACTCAAGATCCAATGTCAGGGCCTTATGGGGTACAACCTTTCCCACACAGCTATACAACAGAACAGACTCAATAAATATATTACATGGGACCTGAAGACATGTCTAACATTAGTAGTTTTATTTAAAGACTCATCCCTTTAATATATATTTTTGGGCAAGTTAGAACACCGAAGCTCATGGAAATTGCCCTTACATAATAGGTAGTTGTTACTTGGAACAAAAATCCTGGGGATAGTGATAAATTCAGGAGCACCAGACAATCTATTTGAAAGAAAGCAGGTCCTAAAATACAGTTTCTGGTGACCAAACAAATTAGCCCAAAGATACAAGAACACGAATGTCCAAAGATACATGTGACAAGTTCAAATGAAATGTGAAAAGTAAAGTATTGTAAACACCGTCAAGTAAATGCTAAGGATAGAGTCTCCTCCCTCCCTCACAAGTGTGTCTTTAGGCCCTCAAGTCCCAGTAAGAGCATCACAACTGTCAGTTCACACAGCCTTTGCTTTACTGAGCCTCTCTCTCGGGGCTGCAAGAGAAAGCTATTGGCTTTATGTTTCCCCTACTTATTCATCTTCCTCTCCCTCTTCCTCCTCTTCCCCTTCTGCTTCTTCCTCCTTTTCTTCCTCTTCCTCCTCAGCCTCTTCTGGTGGGGCTTCTTCCTCAGCCTCTTCTGATGGGGCTTCTTCCTCAGCCTCTAACTCTGGAGACTCTATTTCAGAAGGAGTCTCTGATTTACTGTAGGTAATCACGATGCATACGATTATAAAGAGTATTGTGAGTATCAAAATGGCAGCAAGAACTATCAGTTTTAAGTTAAGTGCCAAGTCATCTTTATTTTGCTCGTCACCATATTCACTCTCTTCTGTAGGATTTTCCTGTGATTCTCCGGCAGGACCACTGTCTACACTGCCTCCGTTTCCTTTATGCTTGCAGTCAGGGGGTGCAAAGCCAAAATGACAGTGGCAGTTCCCTAAGTCATTGCAAACTCCATGTTCATTACAATATTTCTGACTGCATGAAGGTTCAGGGTTGAATACAGGTGGCACATCTTCACAAACAAAATTTGTACAAGCTTTATTTTCACCACAGGGAGTGTTGTTCCTCACATATCCTTTATAAGGTAAATCTGTTCCGTCTTGAGAAGTGGCTATACTCCAGCACCATTCCTGTGAGTGAGGGACCTGTATCAGTATGTGTTTGGGTTTAATTGGTGGTAAGAAGCCTAATTCTGTACATATAAGTTTCCCACATAGTGCATTTTGATGTGAACACTTGACATGTGTTTCTGGAGAGTTAGAAGAAAGGCCACAGTTTCCAAACATGTTCCCTTTGCTGTTGAAAGAATTGTAGCATGAATCTGAGGCAGATTGTGCAGAGTATCCAAAAATATGTGAGCATTGAGAGCTAGGGTCCAGACACCGACCCTCTAAACAAGAGTAAGATCCATGACATGTAGAACCATCTTGCATTCTCCTGTCTTCGGGACATATTGCAGAGGTCCCATTACAGTATTCTTCCAGGTCACAAGTTCCATCAATGGGACGACAAACGTGTCCCATCTTTTGAAATTTACATTGAGAACAGCACAGCTCATTACTACACTCTGCACCCTCCTTAAGTTTACATTTGTCATCACAACACTGGTTATCGGCACAGTCATTGCCACAGTCACACTCCTCCGAATCCTCCACCACACCGTTTCCACAACGGGTAGCTCTGCCCTTACGACTTTGGTGCCAAGGCCTGTCAAGCAGGCAGGCCCCTCTGTGGTCATGGAGGAAACGGTAGAAGTCATCAGAGCTGCAGTTGCTGAAGCCACTGTGCTTGGTGATATTCTCGTGCATGAGGCAGAGGTGCTTATGCTCACAGATGCAGGCCGGGTGGTCGTGCTGGATACCCAGGTTGTGCCCCAGCTCATGGGCCATAAGCGCCGCAAACAGCAGGACATCTTCATGATGGAAGGCCTCCACAGCTGCTGCAAACCCACCTGAACAGGCACCATTGAGAAACGCCTGGCCCTCGTTCTCTCCTGGGTGATGCCCGACGATCAAGTGTGCAACATCGTGCCTGAGCCGGTCCACGAGCTTCTCCTGTCTCCAGTGGTTGAAATCCCTCAGGGTAGCCTGCAGGTCCACCGGGGCCTTGATCAGGTCCCCCTCCGTCCAGATCTCCATGCCCACCAGCACCACCTCTGTGTTTAGTCCCCTAGTGAAGCTGTTGGCCAGAGCGATGATGTCCACTACTGCCCGGACCGTCTCGTTGACACTGCTGCCCCACATCTGAAAGCGCTGGTGGTTGACCACGACAAACATCTCCACATACTTGGTGTGTGACCTCAGGTCAGACAGCTCCCACAGGTCATAGGGCTTCCCGTTCCTTTGTTGCTGGCTGGTGTCCCCTGAGCTGCCTTTGGGAGTGACGCTGCAGGAGGCTCGAGGCTGATGTGCCACGGTGTACAGAATGTGTTCAAACCCTTTGGAAGAGAGCATAGGCTCGATGCTGTAGGATGTTTCCTCCTTAATCAGGACACCCCTGAGGCCTGAACAGATGTTGACAGAAACAAAAGAGCCTGGCACCCCTTCCATGTAGCCTTCATAGTGGCAGTGCTGTGAGAGGAGAGGCATCTCTTGCCCCAGGATGCCATTGTGGTAACTGTAGACTGGGAAGTTACTCACAGAGTGGTCTCCCTGTACCTTTAGGTGAAGCAGCTGCTGCTGGCCCTGCATCAGCAGCATGTAGGACACCCTTCCTCCAGGGTCTTCACTCCCCTCGGCTGGCAGTCTCTTGGGGATGACTGTCTCATAGGAAGAGTAGTACACAGATCCTGTGTCACAGAATGCACTTGGAAGAAAAATCAATAACACCAAGAGCAACATGGCGACCAGCCTGACACACAAATGTTCTGGCATTTGCACCAGCCTTAGTCTCTCCATTTGGGGAGCCCAAGTCTGAAGTGCTCCCCCAACTTTATACAAAGCCACACAGGGTCTGTCTGGAAGAGGAGGAGGAAAGTGTGTCGCTGCAGCCATGTTTGCCGTGGCTCTCCTGTTCAGTTGATGCTGTGAGACCTGTGTGTTAAGCAGCAGCAGTGGCAGCCACTCTCCCTGACATTGAGCCCCAGGTATTATCCCCCATCTGTGCTGTGTAGTTAAGTGGTGGTAGCTCGCCACCACTGTGAGCTTAGCTTGCTGACTGGGTCTCTTCCTGGTGTCTCTGACCTCTGCCTTTTCAGACAGCTTCCATTGTTGGTGGCGTCTTTCAAAGTCAGCTCCCGTACTGCATCACTCAGTTCCTTTGACAAGATGGAGAGATGTGCTGTGACAGACTGTGAACTCTATAATGTGAGACTACCTTGAGAGAGGACATAACATACCCACAGCTCACTCAGCAGGGCCACACGGAACACCCCTCCCCCACGGCTCTCCCACCCTTCCTGTTGTCAGTTGCTCAGCTAGCCTCAGATGTTCCAGATCAGGGACCCTGGAGATACCTTCAGGACACACACTCTATTATCTGTTTCTTGACCTCTAAAGCCCTTGCTTCATAGACAGAAGCATCCTAACCCTTTCTGAGAGGGGAGACTGGGCTATTAGATCAGGCCAGTGACCTGACTCCCTTCAACGTGTGTCATATCACAGATGGGATTAGGGTTGTAACCTGTGGGGAAGACAGTAGTCACCTTTTCTACCTCTCCATTTGGCTTCTCAGAGTCTGTGGACGATGGCACAGTACACTTCCCATTCATGAATTAATGTCCACAGTGGCTGGCATCTAAGGCCTCACCCTTTTGATAGTCACCCTGACATATTGATTCCCCCCAGGGTTATGTGTGTATTGTGTGTATTTCTTTGTTTATGTGGTAGTGTTTTGCGGTATAGCCCAGGCTAGTCTGAAACTCCTAACCTTCCTCCTGGCCCTGACATTTGGTGAGATTACATGTGTGAACTTTCTTCTAGCCTCTGTGCACAAGGGTCACAGGTATGCACACAAACACAAAATAATAAGTTTTCACAAGTTTTACTCACTGTACTGCCAAAAACCTAGAAGTGACCGTCTGTGTTTGTGAATCTTACTGAACTGTTTTCTACTCCCTTCCCCGCCCCCCACCGCCCAGTCTCTGGTGGCACCACCCACTCTGCTCTTTAGCAAGATCAACCTTTCCAGTTTCTCCAGAGGATTATACACTTGTTATTGCTCTTGTTGTCTGACTAACTTCACTTGTGACCTCCAGTTTCCTCCATGTTGTAACAAATTAGTAGGTTGGCTGCATATCTGAGCTGTCATGAATACTGCTACAGTAGCCATGGAAGAGCATGTCTCTGGTACAATTATTCATCTTCTTTAGACATATAACAATTGTGGAGTTGCTAGATCATATAGATCCTATAATGTCTTGTGTTTTATGAGGACTCTCCATAGGGTTTTCTGTGATGGCAGTGCTGGTCACATCTCCCTCAACAATGTGTACGAATTCACTTCACATGAGTCATTGGCTTTGGTCTTCTGATTCTATTTCTAGTGCCTCAATAACCACAGAGCAAAGCCCCAAAGAAGGGATCTCGTGGATGTCTGATTGTGTGTTAACTTTGTGTGTGTTTCTCTGTCCAGTTAATTTGTCTGTGTATCTATTTTTATGCCTATTCCTTGCCTTTTTTTTTTTTGAGGCAAGGTCTCTTTTAGCTCAGGCTGGCTATGTATCTGAGGATGACCTTGAACTCCTGATTCTCTTTTCTTCACAGCCCGAGAGCTGGAATTAGACATACATCACCACACCCAGTTTTCTTTGTTAGCTCTTCATATATATATATATATATATATATGAATATAATGTAGTCATACTCACCCTCTATCTTTTACCCTCTTCCCGCCCCACCAATCCCCACACCCTTCCTCCATCAGGTCCTCATCCTGCTTTCATGTCTTTTTTGTTTGTTTGTTTTTGCCTTGTGACCCAGACCCACTAGGTTTAACCAGGGCCTGTCATGTGGGCATGGGTGAAATGCTGTCCACCAGAGCATAGGTAACTAACTCACCTACGTCACTGAAGACAATGAGTTCCTCTCTTCCCCCAGCCAGGAGTTCCCCTGGGTGGTGTGGGACCATATAAGCACCTCCTCCATATATAACTGAATGCTAACTAACTCAGGCTTGCTCACACTGCAGCTAGTGTGAGTTCATGGGTACTTCAACCATGTCTCTGCCCCCTCTCTACTATTTGGGCTCTTACATTCTTTCTGCCCTTTCTGTGATACGCCAGGGTCCTTGGAGAGAGTGATGTCATTATCCCATTTAATGCTCAGCATCTTGACAGCCTGTCTCTCATTAACCATCATCTGCTGCAAAGAGAAGCTGCTGTGATCAAGGCTGAGGACAGCATTAATCTATGAATGTAAACAAAATTTTCAGGCAGTTTACAACATATCCATTTCACAAAAGTAGTAGGTTTCCTTAGGTCTTGTGTCCTCCTCACTTTTGACTAGGTCCACAGAACTGGCAATCTTACTCCTTACAGGTCATGCATCAGATCTAATCCTAAATCAGTTGGTTACCGCCCCCCCAAACAGCAGTACCACTGTTGTACCAGTGAGCTTGTTGTTAACTGTAGCATGTAAGGTTTGAAGCTGGGAAAGACCACTGCTGACTTTACTTATTGTTTTAGTTACTGTGATAAAGTACCATGATTGAGGCAACTTACAGAAGGACGGGTTTATTTGGGGTTTATAGTACCAGAGGGATACAAGTCCATCACCATGAGAGTGGGGAAATATTGCAGCAAGCACCCAGCATGGCAGCATAAAAAGCTGAGAGCTCACATCTCAAACCACACGCAGGAAAAAGAGAGCATACTAAATAGGAATCTTTTAAAACATCATAGCCAAGCCAAGTGGTAGTGGTGGTGGTGGCATACGCCTTTAATTCTAGCACTCAGGAGTCAGAGGCAGGTGGATCTCCATGAGTTGGAGGTCAGCCTGGTCTACAGAGTGAGTTCCAGGACAGCCAGGATTGTTACACATAGAAACCCTGTCTTGAAAAAACTAATAATAATAATACATCAAACCATGCCTCCAGTGGCATACTTCAAGCTAAAGATCAGAGAAGCAAAGCAGCCAAGCCACTAGCTCTTACCTCTACCTCAGGCTGAAAGGGTGATCCTATCTTCACGAGCTCTCCTACAAGCCTCAGACTGCTGCTTCTCCCCAGTGTGACTGAAGATTAATCCCAGAATGCAGCCAAGACATTGGGCTCCTGTCTTTTATACACCTCTCTAGGGCTATCAGTAAAGGCATGAGCTCTAATTCTTTTTTAGACTGATTCAGTCTTGTGTAGGCCAATGTGGCCTTGAACTCAGATCCCTCTGCCGGTCTTCTGAATCCTGGTATTAAGGGTGTGTGCCACCATCACTTAGCTCTATGGCTAGCTAGCATGACTGCTGGGATTAAAGGTGTGTATCACCATTGCCAGACCTCTGCAGCTTCTCTGCAGCTTGGGGCTGGCTTTGCATCCTGAACCCTCAAGCAAGTTTTATTAAATCATAAATAACATATCACACAAGCCAGTCAAAGATGGCGTTTCGGGGAAGTCAGATGGGCGAGTCCTGATTGTTTACAAAAAAAGATGATAGGCCAGCACTTGGGAGGCAGAGGCAGGCGAATCTCTGTGAGTTCGAGCCCAGCCTGATCTACAGAGCGAGTTCCAGGACAGGCTTCAAAACAATACAGAGAAACCCTGTCTCGAAACACCCCTCACAAAAAAATCGTACCAACCAGATGAGGTCACTGCATGAACAGCTCGTGTTCACTAGGTAAAGCCTAGGGTGCCTGTGTGCATGATAGGCTGACCTTTAAAACCACTGGCTGACTGTTTTCCTGTCTGAGGCTTTTCCTTTAAAAGATGCTTGCTGTGTGGTAATAAACGAGTTCCTGCTTGACCAGACTGCCTGCTTGTCTGATTGTCTCCTGGATTCTACAAGGCTCGGGGAGGGGAGAGCAGCACACTTACTCTTCTCTGACCCAGATCAACCTTCCATGGTTGGGCTAAGACCCTGCATATCACCACATCCAAATATTCAGAATGCCCAAACTACAGAAGAGACATTTTCTTCAAGATACAACAGTCCTGCAACTGCCTGCAGAGTAACTTATAACTATAGATAGAAAGGAAGTTTGTAGTTAAATTGGAGCATGGTTTCTCTGTCTCATGAAACCAAGACATGTGGGATCTTCAGTTATAGGGTCTTACTCTCCTGTCCTGGGAGTAACCCAGAGCAATAGCATGACCTGTATAGTTTGGGGCCTCTGACAACTTCCTGGCTAATATTACTAGAGAGGAGTTGTTATTCTACTGTAGGATTTAACCTAGGGCTTCCTGAATGCTAGGCAACCATTCTACCAGCTGAGCCACATTCTCAGCCTATTTTGATTACTATGATAATTGAATGATTTGCCTTTCTGTTGTTGCTTTGGTTCAGCATTGGCTTTGGTAGCTTATGTCTATCTGTTCAGCATTGGCTTTGGTAGTCTGTCTATCTGTTCAGCATTGGCTTTGGTAGTCTGTCTATCTGTTCAGCATTGGCTTTGGTAGTCTGTCTATATGTCCAGCACTGGCTTTGGTAGCTTATGTCTACCTGTTCAGCATTGGCTTGGGTAGTCTATGTCTATCTGTTCAGCATTGGCTTGGGTAGCCTATGTCTATCTGTGTGGGACTTCTTTCTCAGTGTATGCCAATCTATATGAATTCTAGAATTTTCTCTATTTAAGAAGGAAAGTCAGTTTTTTAAAACAATTGCATTATATTTTTTAAGATTTTAAAATTTTATGTGTATGAGCATTTTGCTTGCATGTATATGTATACCACATTAGGGCACCTCCATTCTCAGGTCATTTTGAGAATGGTGTTTCCTTCAGCACCCAGGGACAGCTGGTAGCACAGTTGCAGAGCAAGGCTTCTCTTAGGTGTTTCTGAAGGGAAGAGTGGTGAAGTGGCGTGCAGTTGGCACCAGAAGGATTCGGATGTGCAAACAGGAAGGGGTGCAAGTCATAACCTTCTGCTGGCTTCTAATGCACTGCTGCGGTGCTTGGGAGGCCTCAGGATGGCCACAGCAGAGGTGTGGCTCACAGGCAGCAGCAGTGACCCTCATTGCCTTTGTCGTCGTGTGCCCCCCCCAGGGTAAAGATATGGATAATACAGGAGGATGAGTAGATTGGAGACCCTCAAGGAGTCCAGAGAGCAGGGAAACAGTTCACGGTCATGTGGGCACAGCAATGAAAAAGCTTCAAGATAATTTGGGTTAAAGGAATGAGACGTGGGTCTATGGCTGCCTTGGGAAGTGAACAAGGATGGGGTCAGTAGGTCAGAAAGGAGGTGGAAGTGGTAGGCTGTGTGATATTTTGTTTATCCTATAACAA